CCATTCCGTTCTAATATGAAATTCGTCAGTGTTGTCCACCCACTACCTCTCATCTGGGAATCGTACCCAAGGACTCTCATTCTCTTACAAGAACTCTCAACCTCCAGATCACCGAGCTGGGATGCAATGGTGTAAAAATCTAACTTTAATAAATTGTGCTACTTCCTCAAACTTCTCATCACTGTTGTTATCCGTATGGCATCCAAGTAAAAAATCCTCGATGTTTTCTACTGTTCCTTGTTTTTGGAATCTAAACAAATTGTCTTGACCAAGTTATGTTTGGTAATTGTAATCGTATGTTTATATTATTGTCTAAATGTGTAGAAAAATTGTATTACTGACGTTTCGTGACTTAATGTAAGCCACTTCTTTGGAGTAAATAAATAACCGACATTAAAATGAACGAGAGTTTGAAATAGTACAATAGTATTTTGAAGAAGTGACTTACACTCTGTTACGAAACTTCGGTAATACAATTTTTCTACTCATTGACATAAAACAAGAACAGTGAGACAATAATTAATGGATAACCTTTAAACGAAGTGTAAATGACTTTGAGAACTATTAGCCGAGCAGGAAATAGTTACTATAGAGTTAAGGTATATTATAAAAAAATAAAGAATTAAATTAAATACACTACTTTTACATGAATCAAAAACTTGTCAAGGTTAGAAAAAAGTTCAGAGATTCTAAAATCGTAATGCATTCGGTTGAGGAAATCATCTATATGGCTTCTTAGTAGTCCCAATTGTTGTAGCATTCGATTATTACATCTTCTTTAAAATGATCTTTGAACCGATCGTACGTGAGCATCAGGTACTGAAATTGCCGCATTGGCCTTGAAATCCATCAAACGCTTCTGATTAGCTTGTTCATAAATCATAGTCTCGCCGATAGCTACGAACTTTTTAAACATTGTTACATATCTATGACGTTATTTGAAATTACATTAGAAGTGTGATATGTGCTACTGTTGCTGAAAGATATAAGTAGTATATATCAGCAGTCAAAATTGAAGTGTCTGGTGTCAGAAGATTAAGAAGATCGAAGAAAAGAGGACAAGAATAGAGAATGATTGGTGTGGAATCGAAAGGACAATAAAGTTTGAGATAATTGATTGACATTTTGCAAATTAAGTATTTAGTCTATAGTTCTCAGATTTTAATAAGATGTTTTGTAATTGTGTCCCCATTTGTGTTCTCGTTCACTACAGTAGATCACTTACTTACGCCTGTTACCCCTCGTTGAGAAACATAGGCCTCCAATTACCAGCACTCTCCATCCATTATTGCCTTCGGTCATTCTTTCCAGTTGTTTCCAGTTTATATTCATCCTTTTCATACCTGCTTCCATTTCTCGACGTAGTATGTTGTTTGACTTTCCTCCTTTCCTCTACTTGATATAAATTTGAAAAAACTCGATGATATAAACACTTCTAAAGTCAGAGTACATAAATGTTCATAAAAGTACTAATTTGTTCAAGCCAACTAACTAACATAGTCTATGATGATATTAACCTTTGATTACATTGTCTCGCAGATGGATAGGTCGTAGATGCGCACTGCTAAGGAGTCCCACGAAACAGCCGTCCAATGCTTCCAGGTTTTCCATGGTGGTCTAGCTTCAACTGACTCATGATCTCAACTCTTGAAATTACTACAATCTCCACAAAACCCCTTCTGATATTATTTACTTGAAGCCTAATCCTATACAAAACAATAGAAAATACTTCAATGAATAACTTGCAATCAATGTAATCAGACAATACTTACTTACTTACGCCTGTTACTCCCAATAGAGCATAGGCCGCTGACCAGCATTCTCCAACCCACTCTGTCTTTGACCTTCCTTTCTAGTTCCATCCAATTCTTGTTCATTTTTCTCATGTCCATCTCCATTTCTCGGCGTAATGTGTTCTTTGGTCTTCCTCTTTTCCTTTGACCTTCAGGATTCCATGTGAGGGCTTGTCTTGTGACGCAGTTGGGTGCTTTTCTCAATGTGTGTCCTATCCACTTCCAGCACTTCTTCCTGATTTCTTCCTCCACTGGGATCTGGTTTGTTCTCGCCCACAGTACGTTGTTGCTAATAGTGTCCGGCCAATGTATCTGAAGTATTTTGCGTAGACAATTGTTAATAAACACCTGTATTTTCTGGATGACGGCTTTCGTAGTTCTTCAGGTTTCTGCCCCATACAGTACAACTGTCTTGACATTTGTCTTGAAAATCCTGACCTTGGTGTTGATTGCCAGTTGTTTTGAGTTCCAGATGTTCTTCAGTTGTAAATATGCTGCTCTTGCTTTGCCGATCCGCGCCTTCACATCTGCATCAGATCCACCATGTTCATCAATGATGCTGCCCAAATATGTAAAGGTTTTTACATCTTCCAAATCTTCTCCGTCAATTGTGATTGGATTGGTGCATTCTGTGTTGTATCGGAGAATCCTGCTTTTCCCTTTGTGTATATTGAGACATGTAATCAGACAATAGAATTAGTAAACTACTACTGTTTATGCAATAGTACACTATTCATTGTTAATAGATGAAGATAAACAGCAACAATAACAAAAAACAAAACAATTAAGACTATTCAATTTGATTACGTCATAATGTTGAGTACCGTTAAATACCTTATCGATTTCTTATCAATGATAAATGCTTGGATACTATGTCAGCTTAACATCAATATGTATGTAATACTTTTATCTGTTTAGAACACTTCGCTTCAACTACAAGTGAACTCATCTCTCTCTGTCTCTTCAAAGTATAATGGTAACCTGAAAACTCATATCATCACAATAATAATAATAATAATAATAATAATATCGGTGATTGTTTTGTTTCCTTATCTGTATAAGTGATCAAAGTTTATTTGACATTGTATTTGTTTAAATAGAATAGTTATGAACATCTTATAGAATGAATGTATTAATTATAACTAGTCAATTGATTCATATTGGTTAGTGTAAGTTATAGATTGTATAATAATCATGTTTTCTGATTAGTCATTTATATATACTACTTAATAAATTACTTATATACACTGTATAAATAAAACATGAAGTATGGAGTTGTGGAGATTGTTATGTTTCTGATACAGATCATGAACCTGATTGTACTGAATAGCCGTTTCTTTCTGGCATGGAACTCTTTTAGGCAGTGCATATCCATGATCACAAACGGTTGTTTCAAACCCAGGACCTCCGATCTTGTGTGCGAACGCTTGACATGGAGACCACTGAGTCGGCTTCTAGTGGTATTATTGTCTAATTCTAACCACATCATGATATTTTGCGACCATCTTTCACTGTCTCTACCTGACAGGAATTGAGCTACATGAGGCTAGTCACTAGTGAATACATGGTAATTATCAGTATGAGGTTGTGGAGATTGTTAAGTTTTCGGTTGAAATCATGAATTGATCATTGTTAGACCAACACTGAATGTCAGCTTAGTGGTCTACAGTATGAGCGTTCGCGCTCCAGATCGAAGGCCCTCGGTTCGAGTCTCGCGTGTAGGATCGTGGATGCGCATTATTGAGGTGCCCTATATTAAAACGAGATGACAGTTCACTACTTCCAGGTTTTTATTGGTGATCTAACATTGATTAATTCATGATCTTAATCAAAAACGTAGTTATGATTATTATAAAAATATTTAAATGTATTTTATCTGTAACGATTATCAGTAGAACGAATATCGGCAATTCATCCTTCCAATAAAATCAGAAGAAGTAACACGCACACACACTCACATAAGAAGCGTATCATTTTGTCATATTCAACTATATAAAATATCGCTTTGTTATTTTCTTATTCATCACTATAGGGTTGCAGAGATTATTGAGTTTAGATTGATATCATGAATGGATCAATGTTAGAACAGTAATGAAAACATAAAAGCACTGGACGACCGTTTCATCCTGATAGGGGACTCCTCAACGATCTCGCACGCAGGAATCGCACTGAGGACCTGCGAGTTCGATCAGTAATAAGAGTCTTAACCCATTTAACATTTGAACATGTGAACTGAATAACATAAAAAAACAACTTGCCATTTTCTTTGACAATCATGTCACTTATAAGATCTTTCGAGGAAGGCACATCATTGTCTTTACTGAATGTTCGTATCGTGAAAACCATCAATATGATGTTTAACAAATCTGAAGAACACATTTGGGCTGTGGATAGAATAATATATTTAATGTGAGTGAGAATAAGTTACATAGAATGACCTCACCCACATGGCCAAGCCACGCCATACCGACTCTGTCCAGACGCTCGTCATTTTTGACCTTCTCTGAGTGTAACACATTGAATTTAAATCTTCTCAGTCAATAAACGAACAGGTGAAAGAATCGTGTGGTAAGTGTTACGTCCCTACGACAGTATTGAATGTTAACTGTTGGAAAAAATTCATCGACTAACACTATACATATATTTTTATTGTATAATTGTTAAGTAACTAAACTATGAATATTCATATTCCTCTTATCATTGGCTTTATTTTGACCCATAAACTATTATTATACAATCTACCGATCTTCAGTTATACACAGTCTATCAATTACAGTCTCCCAAAATCACAGTCACTTTTGGATAGATCTTGTACAAATGTAGGATACAACATTTGTATTGTGGTACGATATGGTTTATTTGGCTGGTATATAAACTCAGTATGTTTGAAATAAATGATTCATATTGCAGAGGCTGAAATTGGTGTTCTGAACTTTAACAGGCAGGACTATGTAGGAAGCAGAACCCGATAAGGACTCCAGACTGCTCGTACGGGTTTTTAAGTCATTGGTTCGATCGATAAATTACTGTTCTCTAATTAACAATATCATTACTTTATACTATAATAGGGTACAATGCCACAAGTTATAACAATTTTCATTTCATAACATTTCCATATTCATTTCAATATTATTTCTTTAACTCAATAATCATTAGTTATATGTTCAATTTCAGGATCTGTATATTTTAACTGTTCTATGGTGAATCATGTACTGGGATACTTGTTGTTCTAATAAAGAGTAAGATCCAGTATTCAGTTAATTCATATCCAATTCCATAGGGAATATCTTTCATGTTGGGAAGATCCAATTTTTCTAACATCATTCATATTAATGTAAGTTTCTTTTTTTCTAATTATGATGTTTTATTGTTCATTTATGTTACGTTAAAAGCTTGTTTAGAATAGTTTACATTAACTGTTCAATTTGACAAAACTATATGGAAATCTCTAGTTGAATAACAGTGATTTTATACGTGGACCATTTAACGTATCCAGCTCAGTGATCTGGACATTGAGCGTTCTGGTGAGAGAATGAGAGACCTCGGTTCGATTGACAGATGAGAGGTAGTGGGTGGACAACACTGACGAATTTCATATTAGAACGGAATGGCTGTTCAATACTTCAGAGTTTTATTTAAATGGTTGTTTAACATAGAATGGTTGGTGATTTCAATATAATGAAATATGGTTAGTGATCTATATGAAATGAATTTGGTTACAACTTAGATTACTTACTGTAATTACTTGCACTTGGCACATCCAATGGCGTATAGGTTGTCGACCAACATTCACCTACCCACTCTGTCTTTGGCATTCCTTTGTAGTTCTATCCGATTATTGTTCATTCTTCTCATGTCTTTCTCCGTTTCTTCGTGTAATGTGTTGTTTCGTCTTTTCCTTCGACTTTGAAATTGAGGATTCGAATTGAGAGCTTTCGTTGTGATATAGTTGTGTGGTCTCCTCAATGTGTGTCCTATCCACTTCCACCACTTCTTCCTGATTTCTTCCTCCACTAGAATGTGATTTCTTCTCTCCTACAGTGTGTTGCTGTTTATCGTTTCTGCTCAATGGATGTAGAGTAGTTTGCGTAGACAACTGTTACTAAACACTTGTATCTTCTGGATGATGACTTAGATTAGTCGACTAATAATTTTCATATTATTCCCCTATATGATAATGAGAAAAATGTGTTATTCAATATATATTGACAAAAGAACATTAAATCGATCAGTATGACTCGAGTGAAAACATGTTGAAAGGTTATCATTAGAACAAAGACTCCTCACATCTCATGAATGTCACTATTCATAGTTCTCAATGACAACTAATCTATATTTAGCATAGAAGTTGATAAAACACAATCAACTTCATTTGATCTACTTGTTCATTTTATATTTCAGTAGTATTTCCGTCATTTTTGGAATTGTAATCATGTTTGTCAACAAGTTACATAATCAATCTTTAATCAGTACTATTGTGATTGGTTTTACAGTAAGTTTATCTTTACAATATTTTGTATTTGTACAATGTAGTTGGTTATCTAATACGATCATTAAAAACATAACTAGTTTTATTATTGGATTAATTAGTATCTAAGTAATATGTTAATCATTCTGTTACTAAGATGGTTGTAACTAACTTCTTAACAGTTTCCTATAACTCAAAACTTCTTATAGATGTCAACTCAAACTAACAGGGAAATGACATGAAATGTGTATGAGCGCTTTACTTTAAAGTTGATTCTGTACAGAAAAACGGGGGGGGGGAGGTACATATATTTTCTTGTGACCTTGGTCTTCTAGAACTCTATGGGGAAAAAACTATAACAATAAAGTAAACAATTGTCTAAATAAAAAGGTAACATCTAATCTTCAGTCTTTTTTTTTAGATGTTTCTCAGATGTTTCTATTCAATGGTGATGGAATAAAACATTTCCTAATGTTATCTAATCTTCTAGAGACTTTGATGACGAATATTTTCAAACAAATATGTAGATTTATTAGTTGAGATCATGATTCAATTGCAGCTAGATCATCATAGAAAACCTGGAAGCAATGAACGGCTGTTTCGTCTTCTTGTAGGACTCCTCAACAGTACGCATCCACGATTCCTCTCGCTTTGACCAGTAGAGCTAATCCTTGTGGTCGCTCAATTTCGTGGATTCGTTGAAATTAGACACTAAAACCATTGGAAGTCAGCTGAATAGTCTAGTAGGTTAAACGTTCGCGCGCTAGATTACAAGCCCTAGGTTCGAATCTCGCAAGGCAGGATCGTGGGTGCATACTGTTGAGTAGTCCCACAGTAGGACGAAATAACCATCCAATGGTTCCAGGTTTTCCATGGTGGTCTAGCTTCAACTGACTCATGATCTTAATCATTGAAAGTTCTATAATTGATTACATAACATTGTATTTATTCTATTAATCTTTGTTATTTGTCTATATCATTTTAGGCATATCTATTCACAATTGGTGTTACATTATTTGGAGGTTTTATTGAATTTCTCTATGCATTAATTGCTCAAATTGTATCATTTATATTGGGCATAATAGCAATTCTATTAAGTATTAATATAAATACAATGATTCAATTAAAACAACAAACATTAATTATGATTTTAATACGTTTTGGGATAATAGGAATCATTTTTCTTTTTTTAACAACATTCTATGTAAGTTTGTTCCTTATTATAGTGAATATATATATATATATATATATATATATATATATATATATGCCTTTATTCTATGTTTCTAACATAACTCCTCCTGTAGCTCTTCTAGAGTTACTGCCGGTCCCAAGCCCGGGTAAAGGAGGAGGTTTGGGCATAGGGTTAGTGAGCCCATCCCGTAGAAAACTTACTTGCTAAAAAAACGCTAATCAGAAAAATTAATTCAAACCATTTTAACTCTGCCCTGCGAGTTAGAAGGTCTTCATTTAGAAGAACTATGATGCCTCATGGTGAAAGTCAAGTTCTTTCGGCAGCCACAAGGCCGATGCCCATCCTAACAACCAGAGCAACAATGGAAAGGATTGCTTAGGACAGGGTTGGATGGAGAATGCTGGTGAGCAGCCCATGCTCCTTCACGAGTAGTAACAGGCGTAAGTAAGTAATTTTTCTAACATAATGAGTTATGCCTTAGTAAACTTAGGAATATCCATTTAGTAACCAGGATCAAATGAAAGGGTTTTAAACCCGTGTGAACGATAAGGATTATGATTTATATTTAATGATTAGGGATAGGAATTCAATCTAAAGTTTTTATTACAAACTGACATTATCTAAAATGCCAAAACTGTATTTAGTCAAATGAGTAGATGAATGAATTTCGCGCTAAAATCCAAAATCTATTATCTCAAATCTGATTGGTTCATTCATAAATTATAATCTTACCATTCATGAGAACAGCTAATGAAAAAATGAGCGACTTGGTGACTTATATTAAATAATAGACAAGAATAACGTTTTCAAATGCATAAATGTACTACTGCTAGTAAATAAACAGTTTATTGAATGATAAATAAAGATGGATAGTGGCTAGCAGTGGAATTCAGGATGCGCGTTTCGTCCTATTTAGGACTCTTCGGTCGGGTGTACTTGTATCTCATAGTTGATGTTCATTCTGAGAATCAAATCCAATACCGTTCGCTTCAAACACCATTGCGTTATCCACTTAACTACTGAGCAGGTACATCCAATTGATGAGTTCCAAATAGGACGAAAAATGTGTCAAACTGAATTCAACTGCTGGCCACTATCCATCTTTGCTTATAACGCCTATGAACAAAACTTCGTATTTTACATGACTTTTAAGATGATCCTAATTAATTTTAATCTGTGAAACTAATGGATAACTATTAAAGCACAATATTGTTCGTATATAATTGTTTGCATAGACAGGTGTAATAATTTCTAATCACTTCAAATTAATCGGTATCAATTAAATGGACCCCCGAATTCCCTGGTACGGCCGAAGGTTAAGAGAATCATCTCTCCCTCTCAAAATACTCTCACATGGTCATGCGTATACAGACACTGTCAAGAAAGTCCTACTCACTGTCTTCTCTCAGAGAGTGTTGTTTACATAATTGAGAGGGCGAAAATCAAATGTCCAGCGCTTTAACCCGGTTCATATATATGAAAGATCTACCTCGGGAAGTTGGGAAACCCTGATTCAAAAATAATGGTACACATAGGTCCCAGTATCCTGGACGAACATATGGCATATGAACCATTCATTGGTCACCGGCTACCATGGGACTGCATCTCCTGATGTTGCTACACTACCTTGTGGATTAGACATTTAGGTCAATAACTCCGTGTGTAACCCCTTAAGAAAACAACCTGTCTCGGTTTCAGCAACCAGGTAGTATTACAATCCCCCCAAAAATCAAGTTACTTGTGTGGTGCATTTGTATTTCTTGCCACTTTGTGCCAATATTTATGTGTTCAAATAAATAAATGAATGAAGGAATTCAACAAAATGTTGAAAGTACATATTTTCCAATAATAAAATAACCATTGAATATTGATTTCGATTATTCATATTGTTTTACAATGATTTTGGACTTTTAGAGGGAATTTGGATCTATGACCTGCATTTGTTGGTGTTGTGTAGTGGTAATCGTAAGTGTTTTTTGAGTAGATGTTATAACTTGTAGCCTTGTGCCCATATATATATATATATTTATAATGTAAAGATACCACCAACTGGAGAATAGTGATTTAACGACCAGACCAATGACGTACAAAACTCCTACGAGTAGTCTAGAGTCTTTATCGGATTCTGCTTCCTACATAGTCCTGCCTGTTAAAGTTCAGAACACCAATTTCAGCCTCTGCAATATGAATCATTTATTTCAAACATACTGAGTTTATATACCAGCCAAATAAACCATATCGTACCACAATACAAATGTTGTATCCTACATTTGTACAAGATCTATCCAAAAGTGACTGTGATTTTGGGGGACTGTAATTATTAGACTGTGTATAACTGAAGATCGGTAGATTGTATAATAATAGTTTATGGGTCAAAATAAAGCCAATGATAAGAGGAACATGAATATGCATAGTTTAGTTACTTAACAATTATACAATAAAAATATATGTATACTGTTAGTACAGAAATAGATTCCAACGGTATGTTTGGAATAAATGATTCATATCGCAGAGGTAGAGATTGGTGTTCTGGATTTAACAGGCAGGTCTAGGCGGGGTGCAGGACGGATAAAGAATCTAGACTGCTCGTGCGGGTTTTATGCGTCATTCGTCTGGTCAATAAATAAATGTTCTCTAATTGGCAATATCATTACGTGATGTATATTTATTGGGCACTAGGCCCTAAGTTATAACAGTACAGTCATTATTTAGTGAATCTTCATGACATCGTCAAACAAATCGCGTCCAAATAGTTATTCTTGATATTTACCTGCATCGATTTTAACATCTACTTCATTGAAATCATGAATCGATCAATACTAGACCATAATCAAAAACCTGTAACCATTAGACGGTTGTTTCGACTTTACTTAGGACTCCTCAGCAGTACGCATCCACGATACCGAATGTGGCAATCGAACCCAGAACCCTTCGGTCTATCTTGGGAACGCCTAACTCTCAGACACCTGACCGACATCCAACTTTAATCAGTCCACGACATTCCGTGACTATCTTCCATTGTTTTCGATGATTAACTACCTCACACGATTTATCTTCACATCTGAGGATTTTCATATTTGAAACAAAATAACTATTCAGTTCTTTCAAATTTTCATTGGCAGTTTAACATTAATCAGTTCATGATTTCAATGGTGGAAATAATCTAATGAATTTACAGCGTTTATTCCAAAGCGGGATCGTGAACGCGCACTACCATTGAGAAGTCCCACAATAGGACGAAATGATCATCCAGTTCTTCGAAGTTTTTTTTATGATGATGATCTAGGCTTCAATGGACTCAATTGATCTCAACTATTGAAATGATCACATAATATCCATACAAAAATAAACCCTCTTTTGCTGATATTTCAGATCATTATTATTTCTCTTTTGATTATTATAGGGGATTTTATTCACTCCAATTATATTAAAATCACAATCGCAGATTGTACAATATACAATAACATTTACTATATTTGTTAATCTATATGAGATTATGTTATTGTATTTATTATTAGTGCTTTCAATTGTATTTGTTAAACGATTAAAATGTAATAGAATATAGAAGTTTAGTTACTATGGGGATAGTTGGCTTAATGAATGTTACTATTTGAATGAAGGATTAATGTACGATAACTACTACTAGGAATTAACTTTGTCTGTAACACTGTTCTAGGATTTTTGTCAGTCTCAAGATCAAGTAAAAGAGAAATGTTTAGCATGGGAGCCAGTCATTCAATCCTGTAAAAAATAATCTTGCTAAAAGAATGCTAAGAAGAATAAACTGCTTATTGACTTACTTACTTAGTTACGCCTGTTACTCCCAATGGAGCGTGGGCCGACGATCAACATTCTCCAACCCATTCTGTTCTTCACATTCCTTTTTTAGTTCTATTCGTTCTATTTGTTCATTCTCCTCTTGTCTGTCTCCATCTCTCTGCGTAATGTGTTGTTTGTTCTTCTTTTTCTTCTTTTTCTTTGGCTTTGAGCATTCGAATTGAGTGATTGCCTTGTGATGTAGTTGAGCGCTTTCCTCAATGTGTGTCC